GTTATCTTGTTAAAATCTTTGAGAAGAAAAAGTATCTCCCGCTAACAAAAGTTAAGAAAGAAACCTCAGCATAGACGAACTGTCCATATGCAAGGAAGTGTAGCACTTCAGTAACGAGCTGGATCATAGGATTGGCCACTTCATAAACTGCAAAGTGGACATCACATCTCTTTGGCAACTAAAGTTGCTAAGGAGGCTGAAGCATGGGTGAACTACTTGACCCCATGCTTAGGGCTATTAATGAAAGGCATGAATTGCCAATGCTTTTATAAATAAGGAATACAAACAAGTCTCAAATAAAAAAAATAAATAACGAATGCATGGCAATGAAGTCATAAATAAAATGCAGCAAAGACAGTAATGTCCTTTTCGTTCGTTAAGGAAAAAAATTCTAAGGGCCTTCTAGGTAATTACAAAGTGTTGAAAATTAAAATCACTACAAAGGTCCTATCCACTAAGTAGGAAGAAGAGGAGAAGGAATGAAGGGCACTATAGCATTAGGAGCCACAACTTCTGGAGTCTTATCTTTGATAGCCTCTTCTTCAATTTTGACCACGTTGCTATCCTCCACAAGAGTTTGAGGCTCTTCATTCACTCCTCTAAGAATTTGGACATCAATTTAGAGGTGTCAAAGGTCTAGTAGTTCACCTCAATCCACTTCGCTACCTCAGTATAGGCATAACTTCGCTAATATTTAGCAAGGCTTTGTTGTGCCTTCGTTAGATGAAAATAGGCAATGTAACGTTTTTCAGCCTCACTACCAGTAGAATGAGATCTTCTCACCAACTCTACTCCTCAATCAAGCCAGATACTCTTAAAGCTCAACTCTCCCTTGTAGTATTTCAAAGCAGCATTTTCTTTACTTGCCTTCTCCAGGGCCTCAGCAGCTAGCTTCTGGTCTGCATCAGAAGTCTCCACCCTATTTGTTATGGAGGCCACTTTACTTTGAGACAAGTAGACCTCATTCTTTAGATTTTCAATTTCTGGTAGCTTCACAAACTCTTCAATTTGTTGCTTTTTCAAAGTCTCCACTTCAGCTATTACCTTCTTAGTTACCTCCTTGGCCCTAGAGCCTTATTCGCATGATCTTATTTTTTTTTTGAAGGTTTTTAAAGATGGCCTTCCCCTATATGGCAATACCAAATGCTGTGTTTGCTTGACTTACCATTGTGGTGAGATGTCCACTGCATCGTTGGAAATAATAAAGGACTACCAACAGTCAATCCAGAATTTATAAAATGTAGACGTTGACGGTTGAACCTCTAGAGAGAGAATAGATAAAACCTTCGGAGCCAGCTTATCAATCCGTTGAGAAATAGAGAGCTTGGGCAATGAGCTACGTCAGACCAAGCAGACCCGTCAGACCAAGCAGACCCACTCGAAGTATTTACCTTCTTGGAAAAATTCTGCCATGGGGCTTCACGACATTTGTCCTCTTCTGAGCCCCATTGGTTATAGCGATAGAGGCTGCCATCAACTTCCCCCTAACTAGGGCTTCAGAGCAAAGAGGTGAGCTGGCTATTGGCCCATCCTCTACGATGGCTGAGAACCTTTTTTTCTTAGGGACCTCTTCGAGGGAGGTTGTCCATCTCCTTCATAACTAGTAGCCTCTTTGCTAATCCTCTACACTTCAATCCTTACCTATTTGGCAACAACATATAAGGGCTTCAATCCCTTTCTCTGAACAGTGGAGGTGGTGGCTAGGAATGTAGCCATATCAGGATGGACTGCATTCTCTTCTCAAACCTCTCTACAAAGAAAAGAGCAAAGTCAGAAACTTTGCTAACCAACATAATGAAAAACTGAATAAAATAGCAGATCTGCCTCTATGTGCCATTAAGCTAAAATCTTTGAATAATCGTCTCGACCTGATCAAATGGTTGAACTCTCTTGCAGATAGGTGACGAATGTAGATGTCCTCTACTATGCCACACTCGACTTTTGATAGCAACTTCTAATAGCTGAAGCGATCAACCAACCCTGCACAATATTGTATAAGGTCAGAATCAAATAAAAAATTAGCTAATTCTACGCCCAAGTTAGAATCTATAACAAAGAGACAACTCATGGGCTTCGGAGTATGAAGTTAGAACTGTCACATGGGTAATAGTGTCTCCCTCACACACCTGCCACTTTTCCTTCACCTTTAACCACATCTCCTTCCATCCTTTGATGGAAGAGGAAAGTCCTATGACAAAGGAGGAGTGTGACCCCCACAGACAAAGGAAATACCATTCCTTGAAAACCCCTTTGCCCAAAACCCTAGCTGAAAAATGATTTAGAAAATGTAAAGAGACATGTCCTCACCTAGAAAAGTCTCCTTCCACAAGAAATAGGTCCCCACTAACTAAGCCTCAAGTATTGAGGACAAATTGGGTTGGAACTAGTCTGTACAACCTTAGAACGACTCTTAAAAATGATGGAGAGGCAGATGAAGCCTTGCCTTTAAAAGGAACTCACTGATGGTAAAGTAGCCCTACTTGAGAGAACAGGCTTGCTCATCAGAAGAGGGGGTTATGAGTTCAATATCGTAAGGAATGTAATATTTTTTTCTTGCAAGTTGACCACCTCTTTATGTATTCCACTATTTCTTGTAGGTAAAACACTTTGCCCAGCCTTAATGGCCTAGTCAAGGTTTACTGTATTTTTTAAGGTAACCCCCATCTCAAAGGCCACCTGGCTAAGGTCATAATCTCCCAGAAGGTGAAGAAGCCATTGGATCAAAAACTACAAAATTTTCCAGTACTTACACAAGATCAAACAAAAGGAAACAAAATAAAATGAGACTGAAAATCACAAAAAAATTTGAAAGATTGAATAAAACTGAATGAACAGAAGGAGATTTCAAAATTTATTATTAGCAAAGGCAAAAATGATTTTTTCCCTAGGTTGTTGCCTTTTATAAAAAGAGGCATCTAATCCCAACTGTTGTATGATGATTTGAATCAGCCAACTGTTAATTTAAAATTCAATCTAGGCTACTCACCAGGTTTGCTGTTTTGCCTTCAATGGCCTAGATCAGAGCGTATTAGTCACAATCTCCAATGAGTCTGAACCATGAAAGACACACATACGCATGACAACCATCATTACTTATTAAATACGATGACGGTTGCCTGTGTGGGAAGTTAAACCACTACAGTTGTCTTTTTCTAGGAAGTGTAAGACATAGCAAAACATTTCAACACAATAATTAAGGACTTTTAGTACTCATAAAAGCTGGACTGGCATAGTTCTTTAGTATTATTGCTTACATCTTCGTTTAAATTAACGAAGCACACCACATCAGCTTCAACATATATGACTTTGGCATGACTTTAGTTATGTAATAACAAGCAACCTCGATCAAATGAACTTTATCTCTGCTTCAACTTTAGAGTAAATGAAAGACTCAATGTACAACTTCAAAAATAATCTCAACAAGTACTTTGAACAATTCACCATAACTTTTATTTTTGAATTTTAATTTTTATAAAAATATTTACAATTAGACTTGGGGGAGTATTTTGGATATTTAAAACCACCCCAACAAAATTCTTAAAGTTACACAAGTTCATATATTACATAAATGACCAAACATTGACAATGGGGGGACTATTGTTACTCCTCATATCAGTGGAAGCCAAGTGGAGTCACTATGTGCGAATGTTTGAAAGTCAACAAAGTCAAAATAAAGAAAAAGCAAAAGTTGCTCTTTGACTGAAACACTATCTCCATTCGAGGCCATTTGCCGAAGCACTTTCTCTTTTGGACGAACATTTGTACATCCAAAGTTCTCTCTTAAAGCCGAAACGCTTGCTACCTTTAAAGCGGATTTGAAGAATATTTGTAGGAATGATTGACGTAATGTTTGTATTAATAAAGTGTCAGAAATGTTAGCCTAGAGTGTAGGGCAGCTGACTCATTGTCAATATAATTAATGTATGATAAAGAGTGATGCGAGGCTTCGATTAGTGAGATGAAGCCACTAGATCTGGTCCATCGGTGATCACGTCAGCCAAAACTCTATAACTAACAGATTTTGTAACATTTTAAGGTGGCAAAAAATACATAGAAACTTTACCTACTTGATATCACAATCTTTTATGTGCTTAAGTTTAGATTCTTTGTATTTGGATACAGTTGTTTACAACTGATCATCTTATTTTGCAATCGTTATTTGTGATATTGTCGGTGCCCGAGTGTTTTCGTCTCGTGTCGTAGAGCATCTTCCACATCCATTACCATCACGATTTTTCAACCGTTTCTATGGTCAAAATGTATCAAATTTTGCTTGCATAATGGGTCCGACATGTTGTCCACATTTCTATTTAAAAAAGGGTGAACACATTCCATTGCTGTATCACCCAATCATCTCTCTTTCACTCTACAAATGAGTTCCTTCCGATTTTATGCGATGTAAACCTTGTTCTCTCTGTGATTTCTCTTGGCATCTTGAAGAATCGATTTCCACTGTTTGTGAACCCTCGTTCTCTATATAATTTCTATAGATGCCATTATACTCAATACGGATTGAGGACTATCTGTTTGACACATAAATTTTGAGATCTATTTTGGGATTTTCTTTGGTAAGTTGATTTATGGTTTTCTTTTATCTTCTTTTATAACTTCTGGGTTGTTTGAGATTATTGCATTTTTTTTTTTGGCTTCTTTCAGCTCTTTGTTAATGGTTTAAATTATGGTTTTCGAAGAATTAGTTCTTTTGCCCAAAGTAGGATCTCCTTCTTCATGTAGCCCAAATCGACTTTACTTGTGTTGTGATTAACATATTCTCAAATTTTGAAGATGTTTACTTATTCTATTAATACTTTGTAGGATGAAAGCAATCGAAGTTAGATAAATATTTCCCCAAACGTATTTGGTTTGTTACATTTCTCAAGTTCGTTGGCAATGAAAGATATATTTTATTTTTGTGCTTCAGTTATATATGGAGAAGGCGGTTTTCCTCCACCACAATATATATATATATATATATATGGAAAAGGCTGTGTACATAATGCTTTTTCATTTCCTTTTATCAACTCAACTGACATTTACCTACTCTGATAATGAGATGGCACTTTGAGCCATCAGAGGTGGATATGTTTGTGTACGCATCTTGTTTCTATCCGCTTTGGGAAGATCATCAAGCAAGGGAGCCTTTATGTCCAACACCTATAAGGTTGTTCTCTTAATTATGTTACTCTACTGTAGCTTGTGAGAAATAAATTTTCCTCTTTTATATTATCTAAAATTTTGTTATTGTTCAGTGAACTACCTACGAAATTTGATCTTTGAGAGACCAATTTAGGTCTTCAATTTTCATTTTAGTAATAAGTACAAATTTGCTTTTGGGAAAAAAGAAAGCCTACTTTGAGCCTAAAAGTGAATTATATGCTGCGCGAGGTAGATCCTTTGCTGTTAGACTTACACATCCAAGTACAACGTCTTTTAGCCATCTACCTTTCTTAAAACGCAACTATTTTTCACAAGAAACTTGTTAGTTATTCATAGGTGATCGAATTTTGTCTTCTAATTTCAAATAGTTTGATGGAGAAGTGTAAAATAAATTTAAATAAGAGGAGAATATATTTTTAGTATTTCTCTAAAGATAAGTAAATTTGTAAATTGTTCTAGCTTGTCTTTATTTGTGCTTTACAATTATCTTTGGACCAAAAATCTGACAATGCTGACCGTCACATAAAAAAAAAAATGTAATAGTTCGGCCCTCGTTGACTGGAAAGGAGGGTTAGCTAAATGCCAAAGTAAAAAATTGAAGGAAGCAAATTAAATTAAATTATTTGTAAAATAAAATATAAATATATGTATACAAGCTAATTTCAGTTGATGAATTAACACCAAGGATTCTTTATCTTCTCCTCTGAACCTATTTGGTTGCATTTAGCGAATCATTATTAGTATTTATATTATGTTTCAAGTGTACATTGGCTGTCCCATACTAGCACTTGGTTTAATTATTGCTTGTTATTCAAATTTTTGTATGATTTCATGTAATTGGAGATATGATTTAGATTTATCTTTAGTATTTTCTGTAATTATAGGCGTGCATTATGTTTTTACATTATATTTGCTACAATGTATCCTTTTCCTAATATTTGGAAATTTATACTGCAATCTTTCTCCATTTTTTTTATTTATTCATGAAAACTTCTTTAATACGTCAACTATTCTTTGAATGTCAGATTATGACTGATGAATTACTGATAACATAATCGATTATATTATCATCTTTAACCCCTAGAGTCATTTAGTTTTTTTAAGTGTCTTATATATGAATTTCAAACATGTTTTAACCATCTCTTCATCAGCACTACATGGTGGATTCTGTCTTAGGCTTCTGCACCTGGACATGTGACTACATAGTCAAATGGGCTCTTTAGAATTCTGGCATCAGTTCTCCTTAGTGCATTTCAGCTCATTTCTACTGAAGAATACATTATAGAAGTTGAAATATTATGAGATAATGTCGAGCAATTCTTTTTGGGCCAGTAATCACGGTAAGCGGACTTTTGACTTTGGCATGGCTTAACAATATACAGCTCCATTGCTTGTAGGCTCAGGTTTCACCATTAGTCCTCAGCTATATGCCTAGCTAACAATCTGTTTTATAAAATATATGGTACAGCATTTAGCTTTAACTATGTTCTGATTTTTGCTACTGTCTCTTGCTTTACATTTTGCATTATATTTTTCGGGTGATCATCCTTATGGTACTAAGAACCATTGTTGTGTACTTTTGTGTGTGGTTCTTTGTTTTTGATTTGTTACCATGTTGGTAAGAAGGCAATATTGAGGTTCTTGTCCTGCTTTGCTTCTCATGGGAAGAAGGAATGTAGATTATATGCCAATGATAAATCAATGCATCAGCAGCTGGATATTTATAATCTTCAACCGCAAATGCTGTTATTTGGTAGACTTGAATTTTTATGCCAGATCTGCAGTGGTAAAATTAATTTTTACAATAATATTTGAGTTGTATATAACTTTATGTAAGAAATAGGTATTCTACTTGTTGACTTAAATGTATTTCCGGTGAGTTAGTGCTACAATGTACTGGGAAGATATATGGGCTTTTAAACGGTGTTGTTTTGGTCCTTATAGTTACAGCACATTTAATTTCTCCAAGTTCAATATATGTGCTATTGTCATATTTATTTGTGAACATCAGTGATGGCTCAAAACATTTGAAAGGAGTTCCCTTTGCTCCTCAAGCAACCTCTAGAATGTTGCATGACATGTTTACCTCTGCGACAAATTAGGTGCACCGAGATAATTCAGTAGCCCTCTCTTTTTTCTTTTATTTTGTGCTATCTTTATAAATTTCAGAAGGTTACCATCATTTTTCTCATGAAATACAATGCATTCTATTAGGTTAACGTGTTGGGTTACAATCCATTGTTGCCAATCCAAGCCATGAATCAGCAGGTAAAAAAAGTAATGCTTCTTTTTTACTTGTTAATGTATTTTTGACTTTTCTTCTAATATTTACTTTGTTCCTAGGATTCAAGCATGCATGTCGAGTGCATGTTGGTAGCCTTCCACCATTGGCCAATGTGCAGGTATGTACTCATTCTCCTGCTTTACTCCGAACCTTTTTATTTCTACATTTGCAGTTAGGTTTAATGGATTTATCAATGTGTTGATTGTGATTTCCTCTTAATAGTTTCTCATATTTTGTAGCCAATCTCAGTTTTATAATGTTGAAGATCAATAGACTTTAGTTGGCTATTTTCGTGAAATAATGGTGATTAAAGTATGACTTCTTCAAACAATATCGACTTTACACTAATTTTGTTTGTCTTTTGTATTGATTTGTGTTATACCTTTTATATTTTTGCTTCATCATCTTCAACTGCTTACCCAATTCATGCATTTTCAGTGTTGAGCTCACAACTTTATTACGTTACTAATTTTAGAACAATTATTTACCCCATAGCCTTACAAATGGAATGTATATGTAGAATGTCTGCTTATTTTTCATTATGAATGTTGTCTGTCAAATGTTAAACCTACCATACAATATACCTACCATAGGTATTTAAAGTGATCAGCTTTTTCGCCATCTGATCCTTTAAAGTAGATTATTGTGCATTAAGTTAATGATGACTTGGAAACATAGGTAAAGTTCGATGCCTTCACCTTACTTTCTCAGATCAGATAAAGAACTAGAGAAGCAAGAAATTTAGGCCATCCAGAACTAGATATCTTGATAGGTTACCTGTAAGGCTGCTTATTTTTACGTTATTAAATTACTTAAGAATTTTAATGTCAATTTTGGATGATCAATTTTTAGGCAGACTTATCCTTCAAAATTGGTTGTTGTGTATTTGAGCTCATGATAGCTTAGCAGCATAGGACAACTTGGATGCATTCTACTTAAATGAAAGAGTGAGAGATGATTTTCAGTTATTGGGCACTAATTTTATTCATGTTTTTCATCCATTAGTATATGAAACTTCCACTCCCTTTGCACATTCCTATTCATTCGGCTTATAAGTGTACCACTGTTCACACCGTAGCCAGAGTTGGGTATTAAGAAAATCTTGACTATTGATTGGGATGTACATCATAGAAATTGAAATATCATAGTTCGACCCAATCAATACCTAAAGGGGAGGGGGGTGAATAGGTGTTTATGTGGAATTTTCTTTTTTTAATCAATTAATAATTGTAAGACATCACAAATATTAATTTATCCAGATCAGTTCACATGCTTTACTATCCTATATTTTGATACCGGTAATAAATTAATAGCAGAAAAGTAAATAATGCAATTGTTTGTTGATGGAGAAACCCCAAGGTGGGTAAAACACCGAACCCAAGCTAGTAGGAATCTACTATAAACGAAAATACAACTTACAAAATGTCAGGCTCAACCCAATCTGCTTTTTCTGACCTCCTGACTATAATTTCCTCAAAGCCTTCCTGGAATGCATGATCCTGCACCAACTCCCAGCTCCTAGCCCTCCTGAATTGCGTGTTACACCAATTCCTGGCTCTTGATTTCGTCTATCTCCCATGGATTCAAGAGAACAGCCTGTTTTCTAATGATCGGGACTTCGATCTCCTTCCTTGATCTCCAAGAATCAACAAAAGCACTGAAAGGTTGTGTTTTGGTGTTTGATGGATGTAGATTTGATTTTTTCGGTGATTGCGCGAATCAAATGTGGGATTGAATGAATGAATCAAGTGTAGAGAGTTTTTCTTTAATTTCAATCCTTAAGAGAGACGTATGAAAACCGGCGCAATTTAATTTATATGAGGCGTATTGGGACATTTGGGTCGGGTCAAAATGTTGAAAAAAGGAAAATATGGTTTTCTAGGTAACACTGGTGCTCGAGCAAAAAGCTAGCAACGCTATTTCACTCGAGCAAAGTGGGGGCAAGAAGCGAGCGACGACCTTTCTATTTTTGTCACTCGAGCGACCACTCGGCGAGTAGCTAGCGAAACTTCAACGACACATCTTGCCTTACTTCATAGCTCGAATCCTAACATACTTTGATAAAATTGTAACTTAGTCCCTCATCTTTTAAAAAATTGACCCCAAACTTTTGAACATTTACAATTTTACCCTTTTGTTCACAGAATAGCCAACACAAAATCTAACAAACTCCCCCTTTGGCATTCTGTGACAAAACCAAATTACAATAGCATGAACTACAATGATAGCCCAACACACTGACTCAACTGACTATTGCCTTGTCTTCTTTTAACCTGTTTCTTAAAATCACAACTCACATACCCAGTGTAAAAGCACGAGAAATAGTAATATAAGTTATGATAATAAAGACAAACAATCATGAATAGCCATAATATTGTACCAATATGCTAGATTAAGATACAATATCAATGTAAGTCAAATCATCAAAAACATACATCAATATTGCAAAAAATCAAAACTTATTCTAGAAAAATAGCAAAATTGTAGTATCAATCATTACAATAGAAAAATTGCAGTATGAATCATTACAATTCCCAATGCTACTCCCCCTTTTTGTCACAAATGGCAAGGGGAACCCTAAGCAACTAAGCATGACCATCATCTCCGTCATCCACGTCATCAGAATCGTCAACTTCAGACTCATAATCCTAGTGCTCGCGTATCCACCGAATACCATGCTGAACAAGAGCAATAGCCCACCGCAATGTAGCAAACTCCATAGTTTGATGCTCGAAAGCAGCTCGTAACTGAGTAATGTCGGCCATCATGCGGGCCTACTGCTCAATGAGAATCGACATCTGAACTATAAGCGCGACAGTGGGGTCAACAGGAGCAGGAGCTGGAGTAGGCGGGGCGGGTGGTGGAACAGAATTGGAAGAAAAGGGAATATCGGAAGTGGATGGAGGAACATTTGAAGGAGGTGGAGGAATAGCAAAGAGATCAGCGAGTAAATCACCTAAAGGATCAGCGGGCATTGTCAGGTCGACAGGCTCAGCAAGAGCAGGAGCAGATGCAGAAGTAGAAGAGGTGACATGTGACCTACTCTGAGAGATAGTAGTGTGCCCTATGGGACGAAGAGCTCGCCGTGACATCCCATCGGGAAACGAAGCCCCAAGTGATGTCACCAAGTGGTGGATCAAGCAAGCATAGAGAAGACCAATCTGATGATCAGAAAATCGAAAAGTACATAGAATGTGCTGGCAAATGAAAGTGGATAGGTCAATTGAATCCCCATGTAGTAGAGCATAGAGAAATCTCGCCTTCTCCATAGGCAGGGAAGTGTGAGAGACCGGCCACAGATTTGTGCATACAATGTGCAACAAAATCTGTCGATCAATGGGAAGCGAACCAGTGCGGATCGCCTCAGGCCCACCTCCCAATGGACTATTAAACAGGGTGGACCGAACAAGAGAGTCAGTCGGAATAGAATCGGCTGAGAGATATGGGTAAACAGAGTGAATGACTTGGGGAACATCTATGGAACTGGAAATAACATCTGGTGAAATCCTAAGTGTCTGACCCCGAAGGAACACCCTAAAGGACAACCCACTAATGTTATGAATGTTAGCATAGAACTCCTGAACAAGGAGACTACGTGGGGGATTTAAACCTATCAGTGAAGATTCCCAACCCCATGAGCTGAAAATGGCAACTAAATTAGGTGGTAAGTCAGATAGGGTGACCTCACGCTCAACCAAGACAAGACGCAATGAAAATTGACTCCCTAATGCTTCTTGTGTAGTAGAAGAAATAAACTTTAACCGACTAAACGATGTTGAACCACTAGCTGGTAGAGCTATAGTGCAAGCCCTCGTAGGTGCCATCTGAAAAAGGATATGTGGAATGGACATCAAGACCCATAGATTGCCAAGAAATGGGAATTCATGAACGTTTGTGATCCAATGCTCAAACATATACAGGCACATAGAACGATGTAAGGGAAGTGCAACAGTAGCAAGCATATAAGACCAACTAAACACACGACACAGCAGCCGTAAGACAATATATAAATGCAGGTGACATGACCTAGACGTAAGGAGTAACGGCCATAGGATGAAGGGGGACACACTGCAGGGCATGAGACCAAGAATAGAAGTAATATAGCAGTGACATGAGAACACCAAAATGGCCAAAACATGACTTACATATGCAACCAGTACAACATAGTCACACATAACGTGGTTGAAGCAAAATATCGAACACATCATGGGCATGAAGAATGCATATAAGTTTTGCTCCAATTCAAGTCAATTCAAAAACACAACGAGCATTCCCAGCCAACCTAACGACCCAGCACCTAGAAAAACTCCCAACCACGTGCCGCAATAACCACAATGAACGGCGCACAAATAAGGCAGTCAATGAGCACAAAAAAATAAAGTTCAAATGCGCAAAATCAAGCTTAAAGCAAGGAAGTCACAATCCACACTCCAACATGCACAAAGAATGAAGTAATTGATGCAAAACGAAACTTAAAATTCAAAATCCCCAAATTGAACTGAAACTAGGGCACGAGAGGCTCTTACCCGAGATTGACACGAAGTAAAACCTACACTAAGGTGATGGAATGAGAACCCACACGTAGGTAATGAGGAGCAAAACCACCAAGAACGTCGTTAGTAAGGGGAAATTTGAGAAAGGAATGTAAGAAATTTTAAAAAATGAAGTTTAACCCAGTCGCGAGAAAACAAAAAGGCTCGCTGTCGCTCGAGCGAGACTCAAGCGAACATCGAGAGACAAGCAATCTGCTTCTGTCACTCGAGCGAGCTGCAAGCAGCAAGCAAGCGATGGGTAAATTGTCAAAAATAACACCAAGTTTTGAAAATTGAAAAATCCAGCACCAGGTTTGGAACTTTGAAATGTAGCACCACTTTAGAAACTCTCAAAATTAGCACTATTTACAGAAATTTGAATTTTGACCCCAAATTTTTTTTATTTAATAGGAAATAAACACATGTAGTAAGTCCAATCAAAATGCAATAGATCACAATTACGGCATGCTCAATGATTAGAAAATGTTTCTCCACACACCAGAACCAAGTACAGATGGAGTAAATTGTATATATGACCCCATGTGAAACGTGCCACTCATTCTATGCAAGTAAGAATTAAAACCTTAAATTTGTGAGAAGAGACAACCAAATCTTCGA